GGCATATTTGGTACTACCCGATATATTATTTTACTCCCAAATGCTGACAGCAGCTCTCCTCATTTCACCCCACCCTTGGAAAAACTACCCACCATACGGAAAACCTCATTAAGGAACCCTTCAGAAAAACCATCTTTAGAGCTTGACAGGAGGCGGCCTCGAGCTAGGAGGGCCTTAATTCATTTTGCAATTTGCATAGAAAAACTTTGCATTTCAAATGCTCTCAACATCTTGATGTTGTCTAGGGGATGCAACCCTATAGGGGGAGGGGTGCTAGGCGGGTTGTCACTACAAGATCCCGAAACGGACAAAGGAGTCAACAATGTCAGCGAGACTCCTCCGACTCCTTAGAGCGACATATTGGCAAACATGTTTATTTACAGCCCCCCACCAAAAAGAACAAGGACAACTCTCGGGAAGAAACAAGGAGGCGACGCATCGCGACTCAACTCGACTCCAGAAGGGACTCTCCCTGTACAACCCCCAAAAAACACGCACCCAAAAGTAAAACCAGAAAACCAAATGCCACAGACGGAGAGGCATATTGTCATCGACGGGAGAGGAGGTAGACGACAGACGACTGTAGACTCCCAGACGTCGAACAATTCGTGCAATTTCACTTCAAAAATGTTGCGACGTTTAGCGCGCGATTGCCACAAATCAAAGCGACATTACACAGCCGCCAAGCCCAGCCGTCTGTCCTGCTGTCCCCACACACCACACTCTCTCGCTCACTGATACCCTCTTCAATCTACACACTCCAGCTATTTTAGATAAATAAAAAATCGCCAAGATATCCCAAAAGGGAGCAGAGCAGCAAGCAACATATGCGCGCCAAATCAGAGGAGCAGACAAAACAAACAAAGACCAAAGGACAGAAACCAGACATGAAAAGCACAGACGAAGAAAGAAAGACCAATGGACAAACAGACAGAAGCACAAAGACAGAAGAGCAAGACCAAGCCCAAGACAGACAAGTCGAAACCGAAAAAATCTTTGGTAAAGAAAGGAAAAGTTAGCGCGAAACGAAAGGAGAGGAGATTGTGGAGATGCTTTGGCATTAGAGATGATTCGAAAAGCAATAGAATAAATGGAAAAATTATAAAATAAATATAATTAAAACATGGATTCCGATCGTTAGAAAGAAGCACAATAAATAGAAAAAGGCAAACACCTTTTGGTAATTGCCTCAGCCTCGTGTCACGCTCTCAACTCTGCAGCAACGTCTCAAAGGGCACCACCAGCTCATCCTTCGACAAGGCTCGCGACACGCCGAAAAGCAGCAGGATGGGTTCCTCAGATGAACGAGGAAAGTACTCTCGCATCTCGCAGCGTATTGCGTCTGCAGCTGTCGACGGACGGTCCCTGTCGATTACTGCTGTGTTTTCGGGTGCGTAGACATCGCCAGACGACCAAAGACGACGAAGACGACGACGACAATATTCCACTCCAAGTGATTTGTTGTCCTCTGTCCGACAGAAGGAGAGAAGTTTTCCAGACGACAGCCACGAAATGATTGCCCCACGAACAACAAAAACACAAACACCACTCGGTGTGTCCCCCAGCGGCGTACAAAAATTTACGCGTCTCTGAACTTTGACCCTCAGACGACGATGATGCTGCCTGCCCTGCCCCTCCTCTGTTGTGACCTTTGTGGGTGCGGCAGCGTCGTCTCCCACATCCTCCAAAGCCGCCACCCCAAGCGGCTCATCCCATCATCGGTTGCACATCAAATTTTATGGCGCTTGCTGCCTCTTTCGTTGCTGTTGCTCTTTGTTTTGTGCCGGCTTGGGGGCACTTTTTTATGCGAAATTAATTTAGAAAACTTTTCTCCGAACCGAAACACACAACAGAAAACCAGAAAAAAAAACCCAAACAAAAACGATACGCAATTCCCGTTCACTCTGGCAAAACTGGGGGAGTGTCAAATTATTGCTCATGTTTTGTTTGTTGTGAGAGAAAGGGGTCGCTAAAGGTCAAAGTTCACAGCAGGAATACAAGGCTAATACACAAATTACACGACGAAACTGTACTTCGATAAGAGATTGGCTAGGCTGTGCCTCTACAGGTGGATTGTGGCTTTCATTTCAGATGTGTGAATCACTAATCTTAGTCGCTATTAAGCAGCTCAGACCTGTATCCACAGGCAATCCCCTGAAACCTGTAAAGCATCTTCCTAAGTGGAAATTCCTTTGCTTAAATACCTGTAAAAATGTACATAAACTGTTTTCTATCAACTGTACCTCATGGAACCCATAAAGGAGGCTTCTTTCTACATTCCCATTCCCAGAACTTTAAACTCATTTGTGGGTTAACAACCTTCTTAGTCATCTAGTCAAGTCAATGCATTCCATTTTTATGGCAGCAGCACCAACAAAGCAAATGCTGAGGAATTCCCCCATTCTCGATGATCTTCCTAGCACACCATTCAACGTTACATCCCCTTTCCCCTTCCCACAACCCAATCTGACCGCATCCTGATCGGTGGATCGTTGGATCGCTGGATCGTCAGATCGTTGTGCAGGGAGTCATTCATCCACATGTAAAAGGTGGCATCTGTTAGATATAAAACCATCAACACGAGACGCTTTCTGCGATTCTGCACCTTCTGGTCCCCCCTTCTTTTTTTGTGTGTGCAAAGTTCTTTCAGTGTCTTCAGTGCCCCGTCTGCTGCTGCTTGTTGTGTGGCAGAAGCTTATGGTGTGGTGGTGGTGCATCGAACTCTGATTCTTCGAGACGCTGTTTCTCTCCAGAGAACAACCATAATTACGCCGCAGTAGATCGGTGTGCAGAGGCCGCCGCCACAAAGAATTCTTCTAGGGGGTTTCTTGCACATGTCATGGCTCTGCAGAGAGAGAAGGAGACAGCGCTATGCCAGAAGACCAAAAGAGTTGGACAGTAAACGTGGGAAGGCGCACAGGCGCATACGAAAAACCCCCCACCGAAGCCACAGACAGTGCAAAAAAAAGGGGGGGAAACAGAAGACGGTCCCCTCCTCACCCATCAAAAAAAAACAGAACCAAATGGAAAATGGAATGGAATCGAATCGAAGCGGCAGTTAAATGAAATTTGCTTTGTGTCTTCCCTCTCTGTTCACTCGCTTCGTATTTGTTTTTGTGTCTGGGGTACACTCCACCACTGCGACGGTCTGCGGGTTGAATGGACGCAAGGTGACGTCGCAGTCGACTCTTCTGCTGCTGCCGCTGCTTCTTCCACGTTTGTTTTCTGGATTTGCGCGCCAAAAACATTCCCCTTATGCATACCCTAGAAAGTGGATATGATAGGCTGGACCATGAGGAAATATTTCTGTATTTTAATAGAGAAATTGCTCAGGATTTTGAGAATCCCAAGATCCCAAGTATAAAACAGGTGCAACAAAGATCCCAAAACGATGCTACAAATATTTTATAAACATCTTACGACTATATCTTCTTATACCTCCTATGGATTATAAGATTCAAATACAATTTCTAGGGTAGTTGGAATCTCTTGAATTCCTGCTTTCGCGCCAAAAACGTTCCCCTTTTTCTGTTGTTGCTGTTTCAAGCCAGAGTTGACTTTGTTTTGACGTTGACCAGACTACAAACAGAGAGACTGTAGAGACACAGAAAGAGAGCCATAAAAACAGAAGAGAAGAGATGATGCAGTCGCCAGCAGTGAATGGGCGTGGCACAGCGGCAGTGGCGGCAGCGTCGAGAATCACTTGGCGGCAGAGACGAGAAACAGGAGCACAGTCCCGGCCCCACGGCCCAGACACAGCGCCAACACAACACAACTGTTGTTCCCCGAGACGACGACGACTACAAACCCGACTCCCCTTCGTTTCGCTACGACTGCTGTCTCTGTTTGTCTCGCTTGCTCCTTTTACTGTCTGCCTGTATGCGTATGTGTGTCTGTGTACGTGTATTGCGTGTTTTGCTTTGATCCCCTCATTCTGTCTGGGGGCAAAAAAACATTCGCTGTGTTTTTGTGCTCATTGCCATTGCCTGCACTTCGCCCGCCATTTGGGATATATTCTGCCATTCCGACTGTACTTCGGGTTCCATTTCGTTCCCCCTTTTTCTATACTTTTAGGCAGGGTAAATTGAATGGTGGGGTGTGGCTTACCACAAGGACTCAAATTGTATGCACTTTAGGTCCCTCTTCGAGATTTGTTTACAACTCCTCTGTGCTTTTGCCAACAAAATGTGTCCCGACCTTTCCTTGTAATACATCCTTCTTTTCTGCCTTCCCTCCTGGTCCTACTTCTACCCTTTTGGAATGCTGCTTCGCCACCGTTTCATTCCCATTTCGCATCACGTCGATCCATGTTCCATGTAATGGCCAATGGCCCATCGTTCTCGTCATTCCCATTGTCGTTTTCTGGCTTTGTTTACACGCATTTGATGGACCACTAACGCCGCTCCGCACTTTCTGCTGTGTGTGTTTCGTGGGGAAAGGAAGGAAGGAATACGAAATGCGCGGGATTTTCTTTCACCCCCACACCCACTCTGCCCACTGCTTTTCCACTGCTGTTTGGAATTATGATAGGAGGGAAAATAAGACAGAAAATGGCGAGAAAATTGTAATTCGGTCCCTTCGCTCCCCCCGCTCGAAGAGACAGCCACACGTTTCTCCTTGCACAATTTTCCATTACCATTCCCCCTCATTCTCGAGAGTTGGTTTTTCTTTATTCTTTTTATTAGTTGTACTTTATTGAATTCGCCGATTGAATGAATTGCTCAATGAGCTGCTGCCCCACCATCGTTGCCGTCGTGTGGATGATGAGCAGCAATTTGATGGTAGGAATTGGTATGCGGCATCAGGAGGGGAGACTCTTCATGGACACTCCTCTGAAGTGTGAAATGTCTTGGCAATGATGCGAAAGAGGGTCTGTCCCTGCGACCGGAAAGCTTTCTGGCCAACTCTGATGGCAAAATGATGACATTTAGTTGAGATACTAACACCAGAGAACAGCATACTAAACTTAGCTGGGGGTTAAGTGGGGTTTTTCGAGACAGTTTGATGAAAGAAGGGTCCCCCAAAGGAGGGTTTTCCGCTTTAATCCAAATCTAATTGGTGGAAGAATGATGACATTTTCATGGGTATTACCTGCTGTTTGGGTTTATTTTTGATAAGGGAGGCTCTTGTTGAGGCAACAATGTAGAATTGCTTTGAAATTGTTAAATTTAGGACCAAAAAGAGTCTAGAAATGTGATCCAAATGGATGTTTCTTATGTTAAGAACGAAGTTCCTATCAGATTTATATTTTTATCTCGATATACCGACTATTTGTGAGGTTTTCTAGTCTTTTCCTATTCCTTTATATTACCCATCTCTCCGTATCCAAAAACTCTTCCCATAACTTTCGTTATTGAAATTCTCAATCTGTATCTGAATCCAACTGGCAGCCATCACCCACAGAAGTTTCCTCCAAAAGGCTGTTACATCGCACATCCGCACACTGAACGCCAGCCAGGAAGACGGTCTGCTCGGAGTCCGTAATCTCCAGATCCACTTCCCCGTAGAGCCGACGGGAGCCAAAATTCTGCAACTGCACTGCTCGATTGATCATCGTGCGGAGTCGTAAATTCTCCTGCTCCTGGCACACCCGTAATCGCTGTAATTCCTTTCTCTGGTTCGACGTGTGGCAGGAATTTTGCTTCAACTCATTCGAGCGGGTTTTCAGTTCCTGAATGATGCCATTTTGACAATCAATTTCTTTGATTAACGATAGATATTCTTTATAGAGGGATTGCTCTTCCTCGTTGTCCTCGTCTTTTAAGTCTAGATGTTCAAATGGATCTTCGTCATCGTCCTGCTCCTCTACGCCCTCTTCTGACCCTACTTCTGCCTCCTTTGAGGCATTTTCTTCCACTGGAAGTTCGGTTTCCCCCTCTTCACCTTCTGTTTCTACTGCATCTGTATCTTTTTGCTCAGGAGTATCTGCATCTTCGGCTTCGGGCAGTGGTGCATTCTGTACGTTCGCCATTTGATTGGAATTTGCTTGGAAATTTTGGGTGTAATTTTAAGAATTTACATCGCAGGAAAATAATATTTGATGTGGCAATTTTGAAGTGTAAATAAAGTCTTGCTCTGGGAATACTTTGTTCTCTCAAATCAACATTGTATCCCCCAATCCTCCACAAATTCCGCATGCATTTCATAAAAGCTGAAGCCCATCGTTAATTCAAGAATCCATCCACTGGAATGGCATCCACAGGGGGTGCTGGGGCTGCAGTTGCATGCAAGCCATAAAAATATGACGCCATAAAAGTCACCACACAACTTGCCGCAGCATCGTTACACACGGGGGTGCATGCAGCAGCAGCAGCGGCAACGGCAGTTCCGTGCAGTGCAGTCATCAAATGCGATATGACTTTACGGACTTACAGGTTGTTATCGGTTATATAAACCGCTTAACTACCGATAGAACCCACCCGAGAACGAACCCCAACGAACTGCACTTCATGCCAAATTAAACTGCATTTTCGCTCTCTTTTTCTCAATGATTAATGCGATGCGATGCGATGCGATGCGATGCGGAAGGCGGTAGAGAGCAGTAGAGTTATGCGCGCCTTGAAGCGTAATCCTCCGCTGGGATTCAGTCACCAGAAATCACAGTGCCAATAAAAGCGTGAAAATAGCAGTGAGAGGAGGGAGGGCTAGCAGAAAGCTGTCACGGAAAAGCACAGAGGTAGTGGCAGTGGGAGGCTGCCTGTCATGCTGGGAAAAGCAAGAGGCTGAGGCTGAATGGAGTTTAGCAGAGGAGTCAGTGGCTGTTGACAGCAGCAACAGCTGCAATAAAACATAAAAAAATTCATGATGGCAAAAGAAATATTCGTAAAAAACCAAAAACAAATAAAAGGGAAACGGAAATGCGTGCATTAAGGGATAGAGAAAAGTTGCAGTGGGTGGGAAAAGGAAGTTAAATAAAGTGAATATAAGGAGATTCAAACATATCCAAGAGAGTTTTAGGGGAGATTTTAGTGGAAAACATGATAAAATAAATATAAAGGAGCTAGCTATCTAAATCAACATTTGAAATTATATTTGTTTAGCTTAAAGAAAGTGCAGAAAATATTTAAATAAATAATAGATAGTTTCCCCCTTTTGGAAGTTGGTCGTGTGGCAAGTTAAATCCCCAACAAGGGGATGGGGATTGATTTCATTTCATGGAAATGCTAAGGAAACTTATGGCTCAAGTGCTGCATTTTCTTTCGAAATAGTATTCAACTTTTAGGGTAGAAAATAATCGTCTATCCTCGCGCTGTCTTTCAAGGGAATTATGCATCTGATGGATGCATTTCCTGGAAATCTGTTAGCTGCCACGTTTGATCTCCGGTATTGGAAGGAACCCTGTTTCCTGGAAAATATATTTCCAACCTTAACTAATATTAAGAGTTGACACTCCCTTTCCAATTTCCACTTAAGCTTTAATCGCTCCGCTCATGGAAAAACCCTTCTTCCTGGGCATTGCCTTGGGGGCTCACTGCCTGTTTGTGTGTTTGTTGTTGGTTAACCTTCCTGGTTTTTTCGGTTCTGGTTTTATTTTATTTTTGGCATAATTCCCGCAGCCATTTGCTCTCACTAGCGCGGGCTGTGTCCCTGAAAGTGACAGTTGGATTAGCTAACCCACACACACAGGCATATAGCGGGAGAGATACAGAGAGGACACGTGTGTGTGTGTGTGTGTGTGGAAATGCCATGACACAAATTCCCGACCCTTGTCGACTCTTGTTGGCCAAGGACAACATCCATGGGTTAGGAGAGAGGATGCCAAGTGGATGAGCATCATTAGCCTTTGGCTGATGCTCCTGCAGGTCCACTTCTCTCTCTCACACATGAATGCCTCTGCTTCGATTGCTTGCTTCGATTCCAACTCCGATTACGCATACGACACATTAAACGCTTAAAGACAAGAGCAGGAGGCACTTTTCTCACTCACTCCCTGCCTTTGTGTGTGTGTGTGTGTGTGTGTGTGGAAAATCAAATAAAAGACACAAAAACTTAAGAACAAACGAAAGGCATATCCTTCTCCACACACATGCACATCCTTTGATTCTTTTTTTGCTCTCTTCCTACTTTTGCATGCAACTTTTTGCGCCCATTCTTCTGTTCTTTTCTGCAGAGTTTTGTTTTCTCTTGTTGCAGCATGCAACCTCTCCGCGCCACTCCTCTAGCCTGTCAGTTGGTGGATAGGGTTTGGGTTCGGCTGTTTTGTTTATGCCTCTCGTAGCACTGCATGGAAAATGATTTCATTAAAAAAGTTGTAAACTTTTTCATTTAATTTAACTGCAGAGCAAACAACACATCTTTTGTGCAACAGCAGCAGCAGCGGCAGAAGATTCTGTCTTCCTGCTTTGCCTCTCATTTCGTATCGTTTTGCTCCGCTTTTCTCTTCCTTTATGTTATTTTTTTGCCTTGCTGCAACCATCTTTTCAGTTAGCATCTGCCGCCAGGATTCAGCCGCCTCCGACTTAATCTAGTTCTCCTTCTGCTCTCCTCAAGATTTTTCTTTCTCTTTTTATTTTTGGCTGGCTTTCAATTAAACTTTTCCATTCGAATTCATTGCAAATTTAATTTTGCACAGCAGGTGGCATGCCACTTCCGCCCAGCCATTCGCCCCATCGAACTCTTGACTCGCGACAACAATCCAAAAGTTTTTCCCTCAAGTCTAATGTATTATGACTGCATCAGTAATTGCATATCCCGCGCAAAAGTTTACCCCTCCCCGTCCCACCGCAGAAATCTTTTCCATTTTCATCCATCGCGTGCGTTTCGTTCCGTTCCGTTCCGTTTCCTCCACTCTAACATCTGACCCTGACCCAAGCGAACTGCGAGCGACCTGTCGCCGCTTCGCTGACAACTTAATTCAGGGAAAAAAAGTACTCTCAACTTCCAGGTCTCTGACATTTATGCGAGATAATACCCTGTTTATTGTAGAGCGTGGCATGGCGCCTTTTGAGAGTAGTTTTGTCCTGGATGGAGAGCTAAGGAATATCGTTTATGGTTTCATTCTATTGGTACAACTTCTGTAGTTATTCCAGCGTACAATCTCATTCATGTAATGCTAATAAAAGCCTCTAAATCTATGCCTTTAAAAGGGTACTCCATCCACCGCTGATTCTCCTTTCTTGTTGCCTTTTCCTCCTTTTTTTTTAATCATCGCAGAACATTCACAGAACATAATTCAATTAGGGCCCCACATAATAGAGGGAGTCGTGCGTCCACACGCCCCATAATCACCACTCAAGCCCCTGCCCTCCCCGCTCCACCACCTCCTTATCCGCCACATCATGTGGCACGACAACATGTCGTATTAGTAATATTTAAACACAAAAGCTCAGCAAATGTTGACATGCGTTGCCATTAGACGGCAACGGCAACGGACGTAGCGATGCATTCTGACACGCACAGAGGGGGCGGAGTGCGGCAGTGTGTGGGAGTATGAGACCTAAAAGAAAATTCAATTTTCGCACAAAGGAAAAACAAAAGACATGACAAAAAACCCGCACACTTACACACACACACACACACACACACACACAAACACACACCAATAATAAGCTGCTTAGAAGCCAGCGATGCGAAAGTGAAGAAATGCGTTGTAATTCCCTGATGATGAGCCCCAAGGAATGAGAGGGGTCGAAGGGCTCTCCCCCTCTCTGTAGAGCGGGGGTGGCATTAAGCCACTTGCTTGCATGTCAGGGAATGCGGTTGCATGTGCCCCACGCGCACTCGCACAACCATAGAGTCGTCGTGTGCCTCTGGGCGATGGGCGGCATGGGGCAATGCGGCTTGCCGGGATGTGTATGTATATCTTTCTATGAAATGTGTCATGTTGACAGCGTGGAAATGTCACTCATGCGGCATCGTAATGAGTTTTCCCAACGTCAGCTACGACAACGCTGCAACAATACCACCAAAAAACAAAAAAAAAACGCAACAGAAGTTGCAACTTTCAGAGGGAAAGAGAGAGAGAGAGATATATTGGGTTAGGTTGTTTGCCCCCAAATGGCGGCGAGGGATATACAACATATCGTATTGGTATATTGAAAAAGTTTCTCATTTCTCAAGGCAATAGATTCTACGAAAATTTGAAAGTCAAACTAAAGTTGGGGGAGATTCCTCCTCCCAGAAGCGGAGGGTTTGCAGCTGCAACTGTAAGATACATTGAATTTATTAGCAGCTAAACTATATCTAGCATTCAATATGCAATCTGCAACTGTTTGATAATTGTATTTCTATCAGTTATTTATATTTTTAAATATTCTCGTACATTAATTATGAAATTCCACTTCTCATATTCTCCATCCTAAATCGAAGCTAATTTCCTTGTTACCTACAAGACATTTCACCTATAAACTGCACCATTTCATCAGGCATTTCTGAAAGGAAAGAGAAAACTTTCGAACAGCTATAGTATATTTTTGGTGTGCGTTGCTCTCTGACAACCATAGAAAATTCTACTGTGTGACATGAGGGAGAGAGCGAGGACAAAAGAATACGATTCTGTGCTGTGCCTGTTGGGCCATCATCGAAATAAAAAGCGAATACCCACCCACAACTCCCACCTAAACAAGAGGCCTAGAGTCACGCCCACACACTGTGGCACTCTCTCATAGTCGACGTAGAAACGTAACCGTAGACGTAGACGTAAACGTAGACCGGAAAAACGATGTTTCGTTCGTGAGCGACGAGGCAGGGCGAGGGGCAGTGAAAAACGTTGTAGAAATTTCCATTGTAGTAGAATTTCACAATAATTGCAATGCAGTTTGCTGCTGCTGCTGCTGCTGGTTGCACATGGACTATATACCCTACTTATATAAATAGTATATATATTATATTTAGTATATATATTATAGTATAGCGTATGCTCTATATACTTTTGCCATTTTTCGGTCACAGAGAGACTGAAAAAAGCAAAGAGAAATGCAACCAAGGAAAATATCGATCGATTTTTAAATGAATTTAGGTCACCCGACAGGCCCCGGCCCACACCCCTCCTGGCGCACAACCCCCCCCTCCCATCGCTCTGATTCCTCTTCCGCCTTCTCTCTGGGGGGCATAGTGCACTCTCCTCCTCCTCCTCCACCCCTCGGGTTTTTGCATCACTCAGATACAAGTGAAATGAAAATGTCAGGCGGCTGCCTGCCTTCTGCCTTCTGGCTTCTGCTCACGTAACTTATTTTAATTCAAATCAAATGCGAGAAATGGAGAAAAATAGATTGAAATGATGGTACGAGGTTCTATTCGTATTTTTTCGTTTGTTTGGTTGCGGGAAAATGTCTGGGGAGTAGCCGGCCTGCGGCATATGGTTGGAAAGGGGGCAGAGAGTAGATATTCCTGTGACACAAGCAGGGCCAATGGGCCAGAATGCCTCTGCCACAAGGGAGGAACGGGAGAATAAAGATAGTACTATAGTTGTAGTAGTAGAAGTGGTAGTAGTGGGAAAAACCTCATACGCACTCAGCATTTTCCATGGCCTTGGCTTGACGGAAGACGAGAGAACAATAGTGCATTCACAAACTGCTATGCACTGAGAGAAAATTATGGCAAAAGGGAATACAAGTGTGCAGATTTATGATTTGTGAAATGAGAGTTAAGGTATAAAAAAGAACTTACCGCAGTTTGAAGTCAAAAATCTATAAAAGAAAGGAGAGAAAATATTAAATAATTGTAAAACATATAAAGAAAATTATAAAAACAATTAATTGGAATAAAAATAAGGTAGCATAATTGATTAAAAATTCTTAAGAATTTATTACAAAAGTCTATTCAGAAATTATAAAAAGAGTAGAGCCAAATGCTGATGGAATTTCTTTTAAAAATTGTTTTCTTCCAACAAATTTCTCTCACTGCAGTATAGTACACCCTTTCGGGCAGCACACCGCCGCAAACCCCTGGATTGCCCATGCCAGACACGCGCCATCAACATGTGCATTTTACGAGCCAAGAAGAGAGATGACAGTACCAGTGTGTGGCACACACAGAGCGGCAGTGTTACCATAGATGGTTGCTACGAATGGTAGAACGGTAGGGGGACAGGGGACCATCACATTGTTGATGTCTTGGGAAAAAAAAACCTGATGTACTATGTGTAGTTATGGAGAGTACCTCCCACTACCACTACTACCACTCTCAGTGCCCCTACGACGACCTACACTGAATGGATGATTCCTCAACGTTTCGTTTCGTTTCGGAGACGTTGCAACTAATTTTACGTTTTTATGACACTACCGCTACGTGATGCCACAGTGTGAGAGAGGAGGGAGAGGCATGGGAAGATGGCTTAAATCATAGACTAAATTCAATCACGTGTGGCCAATAAAAGATTGAATTCTACGGTACATCACGATGCGATTGGGTTCCACATTCTTTATGATTGTGTGTGGGGAAACAATGAGAAGTTTCTCCCCCAAAATGCAACTAGAAAGAAAGGTTATAACCCCACAAAAGAAGTTTTTTTTGCCTGCCAAAAGAACTTCAGCAACAAAACTTAAGTCTGAAAGAAAGAAAGGTGAAAGGTGTCCCTGCCTTAGGCCACCACATCTGTTCCCTTTTGTCCCTTGCCACCTCGCCTCTGGCATTGCGGCATTGCGTGTGGTTTCCCTTTTTTGTGTGTGGGGCATGTAACTGTGACCACAACATTAGGGAAACTCTCTCCACTCCACTCCACACACACACAAACAGCATAAAAAGGGACACTGGGACACTTTATTTGGTCATTTTGTGTTGTCCTTAAAAGTAAACGCCTTCATTTTCATTTTCTGTAGGCACTGGTTTTGCTTTTTGGGTTTTATGGGAAGTGTGGCACCTGTGCGGGCAACAGATTTGGTTAATTTATAGAGTGTTAATTAACAATGACCCGCAGGTTATTGATTTTTACACTAGTTTACACTGGAGGGACATTCCCAAGGGAGAGCGAAGGACACACCATGCCGCTTCCCCCCAGCCACATCCATCAGGAAGCCAAGGATAGCTGTCACAATGCTCTCTGCTCGTGCATTTGCATTTGCATTTACACTCATATTACCATTCCCATTCCCATTTCCATTCCCATTCTTCACTTTTTCCTTCCCCCCACCTTGTTTGATAATTATGTAATATCCTCAAGGAACTGCACCTGCAGCTGTCACATACACACCTTGAAATAACATCACCATCCCCCATGCCCATCCACTGCCGCATCCTTCCGCTCGTTGCAGTTGCAGCAACAAAAAACTGGGTTAACGATAAATTACAAATGGTGTCGGGGTCCTAGTTAGAGCAGAAGGAAGCCACCAGCGTCCATAGCCTTGCCCCGGCCCCGGCCCCGGCACCGCCCTGTCATGTCACACTCGATGAATGGAGGCCACAGCCCCGGTGCAAGTGCCCCAAACTGCTCTAGATTCGTCGTTGGCCAGGCCATGATCTACTACCACAAATGCAGCTACGTCTCTGGCTCTCTCTCTCTGTGGTCTCTGCTGTGCTCTCAGCGGCGGCTGCTTCTTGGCCTCCCTTTTTGAATGTTTGTCTCAAAAATTCAGCAAAAACAAACAGAAATTGCAGTGGGAGAGCCAGTGATACTCTTTCTGAGAGATGAAAGTGATAAATAATGGCACTTTATGGAATAAAGAACTGCCACGCGACAGGCAGCAGCACTTCTCGGTACGTGGGAAATTGCAGCAAGGTTTCCTCCACATCAATTCCTTGCATCTCCCATAGCCACAGCGACTATTCTTTGGGTAGAGTACTGAAATTCACGCCTACGAGAGCAAATAAACTGCGTTGTAGGTTGCAATGTTGCATGTTGCAGCGCAGTGTGGCAGTGGCAGCGACAGCGAACGTGCCTATGAACCAGTTACCAGCACCTCTCTCTCTTACCGCCTCTCTCTCTCTCTCTCTCGGAGAGCATTCGGCTGGGCTGCCTCGACCTGCCGCCTTCAGACGGCAGACCAAAACAGACCGCCCCGTACCGTACCGCCCCGCCTCGCCCTGACGCCCTACTTTTGCCGATGTGGCTGTTGTGGCACAAGGTTCGGCCTTGGCGAAAAAGCAGGTCACTGCTGAACGCAGTGCATGCTTCTGGTTACCCAAACCATTGGGTGTGTATGGGTGTGTGTGTGTGTGTGTGTGTGTCTGCCTCTCATTCGACCCCGTCCGACACACTCTCGGTAGGCCTTAATTTATCTTTGATTTCATGTCACAAAAGTCATCGTAAGATGTCCTGTCCCTCAAAAGATATCCTTTGTTTCTCAACTTCCCAATGCTCATATCTCTTGTATTTCCCTTTGAATTTTTTGTTCGAAAAAGAAACACTTAAATGCAGAGGAAATCGAAATGATTTTCAATTTGCGGTTGCCCACAATTTGATTTTTTGTCTGTGGGATTTCTGGTTTGTGTTTGGGTCTCGATCCAATCTGGCTAATCCTTTCATTCAGGGGATTTCCATGACATGGACTTGCATTTCGCTCTTCAGATTCTCTTCAACATTCGCTGATTCATTGATGGGCAACTTCTAGGAAACGCGGGGGAAAAGGGCAGTGTGGAAGTGGCAGACAATGGTAATAATAAATTTAATTTGAACTCTGGCCACAGACTAACTTCCGCACACAAATACACATACATTTCCCGCTCATTCTCTTCGCTTTTTGTTTCTTCATCTTCATTTCTTTCCTCTGAATCTCATTCACCCTTCTCTAGCAATTCTCTGAGACTTCTCTCCCTAGTTTCTCCCGCTACTTCTTCGCTGGTGTGGCACATCTTGCGGGCATTCTTCGTTTAGTGTTGCGGCAGGTCGCAAATATTCCAGACACTGCCACACATTGCCAGACGATGACGATGAGAGCTCAGTTCGAATAAGGGAGGAACGAGTTGTGCTCATCGTGAGACTTTGCGTAGGTTGGAAAGAGATTCACTTCAAGTTCTTAGTGCCAGTTTGTTTAGGGGGTAATTTTATGCGTTAATTCTAAACTAAAAGCCTCACAAACCGGCTGCTAAATATCGCTTCCACACTTTCATCTCTACAAGATCACCTTTGCAATGCTTTGAGGCGACTGCTGAAGAAGATGCATCGGTGCACACAAGATTTAAATGATTCCTAGGGGATCTTCAGGGTTATGCTTACAGCCCAGAACTTGCTGCTCTGATTACACGCCCCCCCAGCAGCAAGTCTTTCTCCCCCGCCTGAAACGATATGCCACCGCCGAAGCACAACATTTGCGGCTGCAACATTTTATACACATTTTGAGTGCACATTTTCTTCCACACAATTACGTCGAAGAACGTGAACCCACTCTCGACTCTACTCTATGGCATCATCTATCGCTGACTTCCACTCTCTGTAAATCACATGTTTGATTATCTCATTTCTTGGCCATCTTTCAGAGGCAACCCCCCAGCCAGTACCCTGCTGGCATGCCGCTGGCAGTAATGCCCTCGAAACGACGACGAAGAATGCATTTTGGCATTGACTTCGACAAACAGCCCCCACAGTGCGTATGAGTAATATCAAGAGAAAAAGGAGCGGCAGGCAGGCCAGGCCAGAGGCAAAGGCAAGAGGCAGCCGCAGTAACAGACAAAGTTCAAAGGGTTGAGCAAAGGGGGAGGAGTTGGACGGGGTAAGGGTTGTGGCGGCAACCAGCAGCAGCAGCAGATTGGAGCTGTCATGAAGTAAATGCAACGTCGCCAAACGACAACGCCAACGCCATCGACCATTTTAGCATCTTCACCATGATCATCATCTCTTACATCATTATCAAAAGCAACGAACGACATCATTATTGTTTGGCCGCTGTGCCATTTGTGTACCCAGTAAAATGATTTCGAAGGGTTACTTTGACTCTATGATTAAGTAAATATTATCTTGCAACCACTTGCCATGGGTTCCTGATAGGGTATCCCTTTGGTCGTTACCTTTTTGGCCAACCCCCTCGATGCTTACTTTCTTTGTTTCCTTTTTATCATGGAAAACTAGAGAGACATCGAAAGTAGAGTGTAGGCAGGGGTGCTGGGTGGAGAAACACGCAAAGTAAATAGTAACATGTGCATTACTTGGCATTCATCTCTCTCTTTGGCCTCTCCTCCTTCTGTCTACGTTTTTCTTCCTCTCCATCTGTTCCACATTTAACGAGAATAATTGCAGCGACAGTTTGGCGCTACTGCACTTACCCCCAGCATCGGCAGTAAACAGTTAGTAGCCCCTCCATTTCCATTTCCATTTCCCCTTCTCCTACTCTTTGGGGAAAAACTCTTTGAATGTCTTTGATGAAATATTGAAATTGTTGGATGCTGATGCTGCCAGTGCCCTTTTGGTTTCTCATTGGGGTAACAGCAGCCAACATCTCGGACACACACTCGTGGCATGCCATCAGGAAGAGAATCTCAGCTGGAGGAGTGCACTGCCCTGCATGAGGGAATCTCTGCTACAGGACTGGGCGGGGCCAAGGGTATTTGCCATCACGTGGTGGATAAGTGAGGCCATAGTCCAGCAGTTTCTGGTAGTTGGGAGACTCTTCGAGAGGATATTAGGAATTGAAACTAGTTTTTGACGTACAGAGAAGGAAAAGCAGATTCAAAAGGTGAATTCTAAATGTTTTGATGAACCAAAAAGTGATATTTGATCCGCAAGTGTATCAGAATCTTCGACTTTCCTTTAAGATTT